ACTTAAATAGCAATTGTGTCGCTGGATTTGTTTCAAAATTCTAATCATTCAGTAGAATTAATAATAGGAAAATAATGTCTCATTACCTAGCCTTACGAGCTTCTTATTTTTTAAAACATTTAAATCCACGCAGTACCATGACGTGGTCACGTTGCAATTAGAAAATATTGATCTATTAATAATAATTTATCCAATGTAGGTAATATATTATTATTATATATAAAATATAGATTTGACGTGTTGTCATTTAATATCATGTACCTAGTTAAGTGGCTAAGTATTACGTTTCAATTCATATAAAACTCTGATAGGATATTATTTACTATTATTACTACAATATGAATATAAATTAAATATATTATATTTTAATTAATAGAAAATATACTTACGAAGTTACGACACAATATAACAGCACAATTATTCTAAATATGATAATTATATTTTAAAATAAAGTATATAGCAAGGTACAGTATACACACCTAAATACAAAATACAAAATTAATTTAAAAATTATAGTTATTATTAAAGCTCAAAAAATACTTAAATACTTTTATAAATTACTTACCTTCTTTTGTACGTACGTCTTTTCTCAAAATCAATTAAAAAAATAATAAACACAAATTGAATACAGGTAGGTACTTTTAACAAAATAGTTGGGTATAAAATATCATAAATTACTTCATATTATGGAACAACCATGTTGTACAGCAGTAAAGCTAGGAGTGATTATAAAATGTTCGAATAAAATAATTTTAAGGACAAATAATGATAAAAATATACAATTTATATGTAAATACCAAATATCAATAATAACAATTATAACTGAATTGTGGATTCAAAAATAGATGTTTAGCTTAATAGAAACGTTCAAAAATATATTATGTATACATCTTGTTTTCATTTTTCATAAACACAAATACGTAATACGTCCAAAAATAGAAACTTCGAAAAGCAAATTATTATATCGGTAGTATACATTTATTATAATAATATTAAACATAAATATTTCATGCTGGTTATTATGAAATTATGTTAAGACGTTAAGTATTTACTATTTTGTAAAACCTATTATTAATAACAAAACAAAATGGTAGTTTGACTTTAATAATTGTGTAGACTGTAGATAAATTAAACAAATAATTAATTTTGTTTAAAAACATTTATTTGAATAGGTAGATTATAACTTATAAGTTATATAGAAAAAAATATTAATTAATAAGAGTAAAAAGTTTTACTAATACCATTAAGTGGACATTTGCATATTATAAAACATTATATGGACAAAAATCATAACACTGTTGCATTAGTGGATGCGATAAATAACTCTTGCATCTTAGAAAAATTTGTAGGCGAGTTTTACCCCCCCCCCCCCCCCCCCCCCGGTAAAATTTGTAGGTGGGTAAAAATCGCCTGTTACGCCGGGCGATTTTTACCTCAGGCGATTTTTACCCCCCCGGTAAAAATTCTCGGGGGTACAAATCGCCGGTGACACCGGCTCAACACTTGAGTCAAAATGTATATATCCTATCACTCCAGTAATAAAATCAGTTTGTCTTTTCGGCTCATTCTAAATCCTGTCAATTCATATACGACAATATTGTATACTATGCTTCACGTTTGTCTACAGTGTTTCAATTCATAATAAAAAAATTAAATAATAAAAAATTGTTACTATCGTATCGTATCGTATTGTTACTATCGCTCGTTCATAAATTGAAGAAATCAAATTTGTTTATAACAAAAGGTAATTAGCAACATATTTTATACCTATAATTGCTTTACATTAATAATAACCCTTTTATTGTAATTGTTCGGGCCAATATGTGTGTAACGGGCTGTGACTTTTGACAATAATATAATATATATATATAAATGCTGCAGGGCAGCGCGCATCGAAGGAAATAGTTATAATACCTACCTATCTAATCATTAAAAGCGAGCACGTAATACCAGCTGCACGCGTTTTAATATCAAAGGTACTGCGCGAGGCGTTATAAGAACACGTGATAAGTATGTGCATTTTAAATTCTGAGTGAAACGATGAATGTATTGATTTTACAATAATGTGTGTTATTTTAGATTCTGAGTGAAACGATGAATGTATTGCTTTTACAATGATGTGTGTTTTTTTTTTAATTTTTAATTTTAATTTTTAATTTATTTTTTTATTTTTTTTTGTGTCTGTCATCACGTTTTAGGACAGTATAAGTGCTTGGATTTCCTTCAACAGTAGCTTTTCTGATAGGAAAGTGAATCTAGTTGGTACTTTGGGGGGTCAAAAGTAAAAATTTCACAGTAGTTTTCAAAAGCGCCGTGAAAAACAAATGAAAAATAAAGGAAAAACGGGAATTTTTAAGCAAAATTTTTCAAAAAAATCGATTTTGGTTTTTGGCGTAACTTTAAAACAAATGACCTTAGATACATGAAATTTCCCCTGGCTGCTTATATTTGCATTTTCTATACACGATAACATTTTCAAAATATTTTAGTTTATTTTGAACTGTTTAGGGACATTTTCAGTTTAAAATTTTATTAAATTTTTTTTTTATGAATATCAATAAAAATTTATTAGTTGATTAAAAAAGCTTGAAAATTTAATAGAGGGCTTCTAGTTTATTGTTTCAAATGCAGATGAAAAATATTAAAAATCCATAGTCACATTTTCAGTTCTCAATTATTTTAGTTTTTTTTTCTATAAATATCAATAAAGTTTTATCGGTTTTGCCAAAAAGTGTAAAAATGTAATACAAGGCTCCTGATATATTGTTACAATATCAATTGAAAAATATTAAAAATACATAGGCACAATTTTTTTTTCTAAGCATTTATAGATCGAATTTTGACAAAATTTATCAAATTTAAAATTGAATAATTATTTTGTAGTTAAAAATTTATAAAATGTTCAACATTTATATCTAAGGATTGAAAATTTAAAACAAGATTCCACTTAAGTAGTTAGTTCTGTTACCAAAAAATCTAAAAAATACATAAACACAGTTTATTTTTATAGTCATTTTAAGTTCAACTTTGAGACCTAGAATAGCTATTTTATTTATTTTGTTGCGATTGTGTAATTTGATGTGTGATTCGTGGGTACTTGAAATTTTTAAAGTACACTATTATATATCTATGATATTATCATGGTTTGTTGTTGATGTATAACGAGTTATAATTACCTAATAGATATTGTGATATGATTAATTTGGAATTTATTATAGGTAGGTAGGTACCTATAATAGGTCAATTTTCTTAATACCATAGATAAGTATATAATATGCCTTATACCTAACACCTATCGTTTTTCTTATACAATGATATTATATCATTGAATTCAAATTTAATATCATAAATTATACAGTGACCTACTTGTAACTTACTGTACAGCAGAGCACCTTTTTTTCTATGAATGTCAATAAAACTTTATTTGTTTGGTATAAAACATGAAAATTTAATACAACTCATCTAATGTTACAATGATATTTGAAATATAATAAAAATCCTTAGTAACAGTTTTTTTTTATAAGCATTTAAAGTTCAAATCTTGACAAAATAAGGAAAAATTGCGATAATTAACAAATTATTTTGAGTTAAGATTAATAAAAATTTTTCTTTTTAAATCTGATACTTGAAAATGTAATATAAGATTCTTCATAAGTTTGTCTACCTTTATCGAAAAAAAAAATATCTTCAAGTAAATCAAGTTAAATTGTTATGACCGTTTGAAGATCATATATTTACAAAATTCTATATTTACTCGATTTCTCATGTAGCGATTTTGTTATTTTATTATAATTCAAAAACTAATTACAGTAGATACATCAAATTTTCACCGATGTTCATTTTGTCATTTTTAATACACTATAATTTACAAAATATTTTGATTTGTTTTGAACTGTATACGGACACTGTCGATTTTTTTTAGTTTATTTGTCGGGTAAAAAAGAATGAATATTTAATATTGTTACACTAGTACTTAGTAGTTGAATAATATTAAAAATACATATGCATAATTTTTTTTTATGAGCATTTAAAGTTTGAATTTAGAAAACGTTTATCAAATTTAAAATGTAATAATTATTTTGTTGTTAAAAACTTACAAAATGTTCAACTTTTATAGCTAATGATTGAACATTTGAATTATTGAATTCAAATTTAACACCATTCATTGCAGTGAAAACTGTTTAACCTACTGTACAGCAGAGCGACACCCACTTGCCCACATTTTTATTTTTCATTAAATATTATATAATTATTATTATTAAACGATAATTGATCGAACAAAAAAAAATATCGCACAAAAAATAATATTTGTTTGTATTCGTGGTTCAAATTGCCCGCCATTAGATCGAATACAATTATTAACGGATACACTCACTTACGACGTTTGAAATTATTTTCTAACTTATCATTTGTGAGTTATCACGTCTGGTGAGATTATTGCTTTGACACCAGTGAACCGTATGTTTCAATAGACGGTCAGAAACTCAGAAACTATTCTTATGTATGACTGTGAATATTTTTGGTGCATGCTGTCTTGCGTTAATATTTTGATCATATTTCGATTTCGATTTTCTATTTAAGACACAGCCCTTCTTATACTATAGTAAGTATCTAAGTGATTTTTGCTAGGCTATTTAATTTTGGTTTGTACTTTACTATGATGATGATTGATGATGATTGTATGATTAAACATTGTAAGTAAATAATTATTATAAAGTAAAGGGTGTAATATATATTATATTTCTAATGATATTATTAATATTCTATTAGTTATTGTTATGTTAGTTTTCAGCTATAATTTAGAAAATTAAATTTTTTTTTTCTTGATAAGATTGTTTTCTGTTTTTTTTTTTTATAGGAGTTTCTGCTACTATAACTACTACTGCTGTAGTTACTCCGGTCCAAACTCCATTATGATTAAAAAAAAAAAAAAACACAAGTTGCAGTAGCAACAACAACAACTACAACAACCACCAACACAACAAGGAACCTCTAACAAAATGAAAATATATAAGTACGGCTCTTATACATACCAATCGAAAGACCTTGGCCATGTTCTGTATGTTCATTATTTAATATTATTTTAAGTTATTAAAATATAAAAGTTTAATAACTTATTATTTTTTTAATTTTAGATTAAACATGTGCACTCATATTAACAAAAAGGAGCCTGAAAATCCTATTCTTAATTTAACAGCGCCTAAAGTATTAACTCCGGTAAGAATAAGAAAAAAATATGATCTTTTACTATAATAGTTTAGTATAAGACCAACTAATATCTTTGCAGTACATATTTTAATTTACTTAACACTTTCATTAATACTTTTTCACTTAACTATTTTCAATTATAATATTTATTAATGCTGTTAACTGCATTAAATTGTATTTTGCATCATTGAATCATGTTACTGTGTTACAAAGACAAATTTTCATTATAAATATCCTATTTTGTTCCATAAGATCTTAATTTAAAAACATAATATATTATAGTATTAATGTTTTAATTTATTGACTTTTAAGTGAATGTCGTGAATGTTTTTTTCTCCCTGACACACCTGCAATATAACAAATTTTAAGTTCAAATAATGATCATAATCAAATTAATATCTAAAATTAGAGCGAAATTACCTCTAATAATATTTGAAAATAAGATTATTATCTAATGCGTTTCATAGGCTTTTTATTATATTTTAATTTTAAAACGAGTTATGGGTATTTTAAAATTGTAAATTGTTTGTACAACCTTCAATATTCATAACTTGCTTTAAAATTAAAATATAATAGCCTCAATGATAATCTTACCTTCAAATTTTTTATGTTGTCATTTAACTCTAGTTTTAGAAATTAATATGATAATGATCATTATTGTAAACGTACAATTTCCTATGTTGTTTGTGGGTGAGGGAGAAAAAAAAATACGCTGACATCCTCTTAATTGTAAATATGAGACACAATTTTGATTTGATCTCACAATTTATATAAATTTAAATTATATAAATTAATAAAGTAATTATTTATAAAGCATTTATATTAAATATTTAATTTAATTTAGGTACCGCAAAAGAAGATACGACTTTATAGATGTGAGGTATGTTCTAAAATCTTTGATAGTCAAAATAATTGCCTTGATCACGTTCAAAAACACTATAATTGGTCAACTGCTCCCATCAAGAAATTCCGGATAGTATTGAGAAAAAAGTTGATGAAGACAATGCAAATGTGGAAAACAAAATGGTACACTTGGACATAGAATCAATGTTAGCCGCAATCCATAATGATAATCCTACTAACATTGGGGATACACAAAACAAAGATTAAGATTTATACAACTTATTCAATAGTTAGTAATAAATGTTATATTTATAAGCTCCCATTTCATAATTCTAAAAATTATTATTTCTTTAAGGTTTTTAAATCTAAACTCATCTAAACTTAATAAATAATTGTAATAGGTTACATTAAAATATGTTTACATTCAGTAGTAAAAGTAGTAAAACTTAAAACTTAAAATTATAAAATCATATATAATGTCTAGTAGACCTTAATTTTTGTTTATTATTTTCAAAATTCTCCAAGTTATATATTATTTATTTATTTATTGAATATAATAAGGGACAAGCCCAATTTAAATGTACATTAACAAAGAAATAAGAACATTTTTTTAAAATTCAATTAAAATTCAAATTAAACAAAGAGTGATATAGTATAGTATAGGTAGACATATATTTACAATTGACTTATTTTGACAACAAAATAATAACAACATGATTATATTTCAGAATAATAAAGATTTTTCTTTGTTGGCCTATTTCAACATTTGGGTGATAAGACGAATATTACTTTTAAGATTAGTTCAAAAGCATTTATATTTGCTTGAATAGTTATTATAGTTTTAATAATCTAACCTTAATCAATAATTTTAGGAGGTAACATTAAATTACATTATCATACAGTAGTAATGTACTAAAAATTAAATACATAATTATATAAAAAAATTTAAAAGTCAAAATCGAAAAAAAATGTATTTTTAGTATAGGATATAAAAAAAATGTATTAGTATCTGACTAGTTTAGTTCTTACATCCTTGATACTTAAGTAACTATTTATTAGTATTAAATGAATTCATGAAGTATTCATGAAGGAGCACATGTTCATTATGTTACAATATAATAAGACAAGTTCAATGGCATAAAATATGCACGAATCTTTGTCATAGTTTTAATAATCTTAGCTTAATCAGTTATTTTATTATAAAAAATTAAATTACATTAGTGTACAGTACCAAAGTGCTATAAATTAAATACGTAATAATATAAAAAGAAAATACTTATTAGTATCTAGTTTAGTTCCTAATTTTTGTTTATTATTTTCAAAATGTGTAGGTTAGCTTAGTATACTGAATAGTATTCTTAAAGTTATAAATGTTATAATGTTTGTTCTTTATTTGTAAGCTATTAGGTTCATTCTTGATATTTAAGTAAATATTTATTATTATTAAATTAATTAATTAATATTCACGAAGGGAGGATACATTCGATCTATTATTTATTAAGACAAGTCCAGAGCATAAAATATGCATGAATCTTTGTCATAGATTTAATAATCTTAGCTTAATCAATACATTTTGTTATAACATTATATTACATTAGCATACAGTATTAAAGTGCTAAAAAGTAAATACTTAGTAATATGAAAAAAATGAAAAAAAATAAAAAAATATTGATTAGGATCTAGTTTAGTTCTTACATACTCGATATTTAAGTAACTATATATTAGTATTAAATGAATTCATTAGTATTCATGAAGATTGTATGAGTGGACTTATATTATTTATTAAGACAAGTTCAGAGGCATAAAATATGCATGAATCTTTGTCATAGTTTTAATAATCTTAGCTTAATCAATAATTTTCATAGGTAACATAATATTACAATAGTGTACAGTATTAAAGTACTAAAAATTAAATACATAAAAATATAAAAACATAAATTAAAAAAATAAAATCCAAAAAAAAAAAATTACTTATTAGTATCTAGTTTAGTAAATAATTATTGTTTATTATTTTCAAAATATGTAGGTTATACTGAATAGTATTCTAAAAGTTAGAATGTTAGTTCATTATTATTATTAAGATGGCAGAGTGGACTTACATTATTTATTAAGACAAGTTCAGAGGCATAAAATATGCATGAATCTTTGTCGTAGTTTTAATAATCTTAGCTTAATCAATACATTTTGTTATAACCTTAGCTTAATCAATTATTTTATCATAGACAATTAAATTACATTAGGGTACAGTACCAAAGTGCTATAAATTATATATTTTAAAATATAAAAAAACAATTAAAAAAAAAAAAAATTCTTATTAGTATCTAGTTTATTTCCTAATTTAGCTTCATCCTTAATATTTAAGTAAATATTTAATAGAGCTAAATGTATTTTTAGTATAGGATATAAAAAAAATGTATTAGTATCTGACTAGTTTAGTTCTTACATCCTTGATACTTAAGTAACTATTTATTAGTATTAAATGAATTCATGAAGTATTCATGAAGGAGCACATGTTCATTATGTTACAATATAATAAGACAAGTTCAATGGCATAAAATATGCACGAATCTTTGTCATAGTTTTAATAATCTTAGCTTAATCAGTTATTTTATTATAAAAAACTAAATTACATTAGTGTACAGTACCAAAGTGCTATAAATTAAATACGTAATAATATAAAAAGAAAATACTTATTAGTATCTAGTTTAGTTCCTAATTTTTGTTTATTATTTTCAAAATGTGTAGGTTAGCTTAGTATACTGAATAGTATTCTTAAAGTTATAAATGTTATAATGTTTGTTCATTATTTGTAAGCTATTAGCTTCATTCTTGATATTTAAGTAAATATTTATTATTATTAAATTAATTAATTAATATTCACGAAGGGAGGATACATTCGATCTATTATTTATTAAGACAAGTTCAGAGGCATAAAATATGCATGAATCTTTGTCATAGATTTAATAATCTTAACTTAATCAAGTATTTTATCATGGACAATTAAATTACATTAGGGTACAGTACCAAAGTGCTATAAATTATATATTTTAAAATATAAAAAAACAATTAAAAAAAAAAAAAATTCTTATTAGTATCTAGTTTCTTTCCTAATTTAGCTTCATCCTTAATATTTAAGTAAATATTTAATAGAGCTAAATTAATTAATTAATATTCATAAAGGTTGTAGGCATGTGGTTATATTATTTATTAAGACAAGTTCAGAGGCATAAAATATGCTTGAATCGGTGTCATTGTTTAAATAATTTTAGGTTAGTCAATGATTGGGTTAATATAACTAGATTATGGACTAAAAGTATATTACAGTATACTGAATAGTATTCTTCAAGTTCTGGGATAAATTACTTTTAAGACTTTTTCAATGCATTTAAATATGGTTGAATTGTTGTAAAATTTATTGTAAAATTATAATTTAAATGTAATGTGAAAAAAAAATTCAAAACTAAAATAAGAAAATGTTAAATTTATTTGTTAGCTATTAATTATTTTTAATTTATTATATCCTAAATGTTCAAGTTAATATTTTATATTAATATTATATTCACAATTTTGATTTAAAATACTGTTATTTGTTAATATTTTTGAAAATTTGTGCATTTCCATCTGAATATGCTTAAATCTTTGTCAAAGTGTATTATTAATTTAACCGTTTATAGTTATTATACTAATCGTGGTAACTTAAATAGGTCTTTACATAATATATAACATCTATACCCATGTCTTGGTCATAGCTTTTATGATTTGATTTCTATAGTAAGTAATTTAAAAAATATATTTGTACAATTCAAATCATAACATTTACCGTTGAATTATTGATTCCAAAATATATTGCAAAAATTTTTTATTATTATTTTACATTTTGTATTTTATAAGTATATTGTACCTGAATTAATTAATATTCGGAATTTGATTTAAATAAAATAAAAACAATTAGAAAATACACATTTTTCAGTTTTTTGCGCTATGAAAAAAAAATTATTCAACATAAAGCAAATTTAAAAATATATTTGAAGCAATCTAGTTTAAAAGTTGTAAGCAAATAAAAAAATTTGGTAGTTTGTAATATTATATTATACTTATTTTTACATCTTAATCACATTTCTAGAATAAACTTCACCTGTGTTCGATTAACAGTTTGTATCTTCATATTTTAATTTTAAAATGAGTTATAAGCAGGACTTCAACCCGGTTAAAACTGGTTTTATTATTAACCGGTTATATTATAAAATTTACATGAAAGAAACAAAACGAAACTACAATTATCTATTTTATAGAACGAAAATGAAATGTTTAACTAGAATTATTTTTTGTTCTTGAATAATAATAATAATGATAATAATAATTGTTTATACTTCATAGTTCATATGTTGGTCACTCTGTTTCTAATATGATAAATGTTAGTGGTTTTCCAAGATTTATCTAAGAGATATCTCTAGTCTTCATGATTTTATTATATTTAAACATAAAAAGTCTCTCTGCTGTACAGTAGGTTACAAGTGGGTCACTGTAATGGATGGTGTTAAATTTGAATTAAATGATATAATATCATTGTATAAGAAAAACGATTCTGAACGTAAACGTTCAGTCAGCCTATGATATTACAAAGTATATTTGATAATATTAAGGTGAATAAAGTAATTTATGTATAACCTATTTACGTGGAATCTTGTTTTAAACTTCCAATAATTAGCAACAAAAGTTGAACATTTTATATATTTTTAACAACAAAATTATTATTCAATTTTAAATTTGATAAATGTTGTCAAAGTTTGAACTTAAAATGCTTATTAAAAAAAATTGTGTCAATGTATTTTTAATATTTGTCAACTGCTATTGTAACAATATATCAGGAGCTTAGCATTAAATTTTCACGCTTTTTTACCCAACAAATACAATTTTATTGGTATTTATAGAAAAGAAAACTAAAAATATTGAAAACTGAAAATGTTTGTAAACAGCTCAAAAGAATCAAAATATTTTCAAAATCGTATGGTGTATAGAAAATGCTAATATAAATATTACGTGAAATTTTCAAGTATCTACAGTCATACGTTTTTTAATTATAACAAAATAAGAAAATTGTTACATGAGAAATCGGTTGAATATCAAATGTTACAAAAATATGAATTTCAAACGCTCATAAACATTTAATTTGAGTTTTTTGAAGACATTTTTTTTTAT